GGGAGCCCGATGCGGGACTCGATCCCAGGACTCCAGGATCATGACCTGAGCTGAAGGCAGTCGCTTAACCAACTGAGCCACCCAGGTGCCCCAAAATATTTTTTTATTTTTAAATTTTTATTTTAGGAAGAGATTGAGTGTGTGTGCCAGAGAGGGTGCGTGTGTGGAAGGAGGGGCAGAGGCAGAGGAAGAGAGAATCTCAAGCAGATTCCCTGCTGAGCGTGGAGCCTAACTTGGGCCTTGATCCGTTGACCCTGATATCATGACCCGAGCAGAAATCAAGAGTCAGTTGCTTAACTGACTGAGCCATCCAGGCACCCCAAGATTTTTTATTTTATTTATTTATTATTTATTTTTATTTAAATTCAGTTAATTAACATACAGTGTATTGGTTTCAGAGGTAGACTTTAATGATTCTTCAGTTGTATATAACACCCATTGCTCAGTACATCAAGTGCCCTCCTTAATGCCCATCACCCAGTTACCCCATCTCCCCCTCTACCCTCCCCTCCAGCAGCCCTGCGTTTGTAGTTAAGAGTCTCTTAGGGTTTGTCCCCCTCTCTGGTTTTGTCTTATTTTATTTTTCCCTCCCTTCCCCTATGGTCCTTTTTTTTTTTTCTTAAATTCCTCATCTAAGTGGAATCATATGATAATTGTCTTTCTCTGATTTATTTTGCTTAGCATAATACCCTCTAGTTCCTTCCATGTCATTGCAAATGGTAAGATTTCTTTTTTGATGGCTGAGGAATATTCCATTTTGTGTGTGTACACTATATCTTCTTTACCCATTCATCTGTCAGTGGACATCTGGGCTCTTTCCAGAGTTTGGCTGTTGTGGACATTGCTGCTATAAACATGGAGGTGCGGGTGCCCCTTTGGATCACTATGTTTGTACCTTTGGATAAATACTTAGTAGTGCAGTTGCTGGATCGTAGAGTAGCTCTATTTTTAAGTTTTTCAAGATTTTTATTTTTAATCTATACACCCGATGTAGGGCTCCAACTCACAACGCAAGATCAAGAGTCACATGCTCCACCTACTGAGCCGGTTGAGTGTTGGACTCTTGATTTAGGCTTGGGTCATGATCTCAGGGTGGTGAGATGGAGCCCTGCATCAGGCTCTGTGCTCGGTGCAGAGTCTGCTTGTACGTCCCTCTTCCTCTGCTCCTCCCACTGCTCACATGCATGTGTGCGTGTGCTCTCTAAACTAAATAAAATCTTTTTTAAAAAAGCCTTAAAAAAATAGAATGGGGTTGGCAAAGGGTGGCCCAGTGTACCAGATCTTTCAGCTGTTTGTTTTTAACATGGATGTGGTCGTTTGTTTACATATTGTGTGTGGCACAGCTGTCTAGGTGTGGAAAGAGACTCTTTGGCCTTCTAAGCCTAAAGTATTTACTTTCTGGCCCGTTAACGAAAAACTTGCTGACCAGATCTTATACAAAACATTTTACATAAAGACTTATTTGGACAACCTGTAGTTTCTGAAAACTTTTTTCCTTTCTGGATTTAACTTTAGATTCCTTTCCTAGTTGTACATACTGTATATGAAATGCCAGTATGTCAGTCAAGCTCCAGTCAGGGAGTTGAAAGGGAATTTATTAAAGGGAAGTACTTACACAGATGTTGGAGGTAGAGAACAAACGGAACCTGGACGACACTGAGAGATGATGATGATGACATTTATAATAACTGAGGAAGCAGCCAATCTCCCTGAAGGCTGGGGAAACAAAGGAAAGAGGGTTGTCAGAATCTAAGAATCACTTAGAATCACTTGGAGGTGGGCCCTGTAAGGGAAGCTAGGACTTAATGGAAGGGATGCTGTCTGGCTACTGCTGGTAACTCCGAGAGGAGTACCATGAGATTGGTTTTTGGATGCTGCCACTTGGAATCTGGGCTGCTGCTGAGTGATGCTTTCATACACAGAAAGTGAACACTTCCTTGGTCTCTTCCTGCCTTCTAGTCCTTTAGTACCATGTAGGCAGTGGAGGAGGATCTTAACAGGAAGCCAGCTGGAAATGAAAAATGAAGTTCGCAGAGTTCCAGTCCCAGCCTCACAAAGCATAGAACAGAAGGGGGGATTTGAAGTAGAGAGACAACACTAGAATAACTGGCAAAGTGTCTTATCTCTTGCTCCCCCAATACATCTGTTAAAAAAAAAATATCTGAAATACTTGCGTTTAGTCTAGACCTTTTTTTTTAAAGTATTGGCTTTAATACTGGTTTAGCATTACTTATTCCTCATATTAAAAAGTGTTTGTTTCTACTTTATTTCAGTATCAGATATAGAAGGTGGTGATGGACTGCAGCTCAGAAAGGAACATACTCTCAAAATATTTGCTTATATCAATTCCTGGACACAGAGGTATGCATTTTTAAGTACTTTAAAGACTAACTTTGTGAGTTGTACTTTAAATTGGCATCGTTTGTCATGAAATTTCCCTTTTGGAGTGTTGGGTTGTATACCTATAGTCAATGAATGACAGTTTATCAATATTTATTAAATCTTCTTCCCTTAATCATGAGGCCACTCATGGTTTTGTTTTTTAAAACAGAATAAAAGTTTCTTTAACTCTTTCATTATTTAGAAAGAGAGTGAATGGAATTCTTTTTTTTTTTTTTTTTTTTAAAGATTCATTTATTTGACAGAGAGACACAGAGAGGGAACACAAACAGGGGGAGTGGGAGAGGGAGAAGCAGGCTTCTTGTGGAGCAGGGAGCCCGACGCAGGGTTCGATCCCAGTGTACTGGGATCATGACCTGAACCGAAGGCACACTCTTAACCGACTGAGCCACCCAGGCACCCCAAGTGAATGAAATTCTAAAAATAATTATTTTGAGAGATTAAAGAATTTTTAATGGCATAGCTAGAGACCTTTAACAAACTTAATCCATTAAAAAAATCAGTATTTTGGTAATGGACACTTTGACCCTTCTGGAAGCCACTTGTTATTACATTTGCATAATATGTAGGTGTATTAGACCAATTTTTAAAAAATACATATATTGAGAATATAAAGAATACAACTTCAGGGAACACAATAATTAATATAATGAGAATTTGTAACAAGAATTTGCACGTTCCTGTTCCCTTAAAATGATTTTAGCTGGTCATAGCTAAAGATTCTTTTTTGCTTGCGTACCTATCTCGTTTATTAGTCTTCTAAAATTTTTGTGGGTGAAGAATGTTTGAAGCTTTGTGTGCAATGATTAGTGAACATGTTAAGTGCAGCTAACATAAATAAATGTCCTGAGGCCCACAGTCTAGCTGATCATAGAGTTTATCTTCAAATCTCATTTGTTCTACAGTAATATCCCTTTTTCCTATTTTTTTCCTTCTTTGTCAATAAAGTTGGTACACATATTTGTTCTACAAAAGATTGTAGATTTTTTTACATGCCATTATTATTGGCATCTCTTTTCTGAGTCTCAACCAGCTGAATTACTTTTAGCTAAGTTTAGGAACGGTTGCTGTTCCTCTGTTCTTTTCATTATGGGTAGAGTAGGTGATTGTATATTTCATAATACTATCGTTAATGATTTAAAATTAACATCAGTATCCAAAGGATTTGTTGAGAAATGTTGCATTTGAGTAATAATTTTGGATTTATTTATTGTAACTGCAGCTAGATAGCAACATGTTATGCCACTAAATAAAATGAAATCCAGAGAAATGATGCAATTTTTTTAACATCTCACCCCCTAGTTATTGGTGGTGCTGGGTGGGGGTTACATGTTCCCATTCCTAGTCCTCTTTTATCATTGATACATACTCTTAATCCTTGTATCAGGAATTTTTAACCTGGATGGGAATGAAATTACAAAGTAAATATTGATGTGTACAGTTTTAGGCATAATTTGTAGGTTTCATTAGAATGTCAGAATGTTTGCCCCCAAACTACAGAGATCCTCTTTTATCTACTGTTGCTGTAGAGTATAGTGGTTAAGAGTGTGGCTGTCGAGCCAGATTAATGTGGCTTTGAGTCCTGCTTCATTACCTGTTTATTAGATGATTAGGACAAACTAGTTAGCTTGTAAGTTCTTACTTCATTTGTGAAATGAGAATAATAATGTTACTACTATTTTAGGTTGTGAAGAGACCAAGTGCTTAGCACAGTACCTGACAGAAGATCTTAATTAAACACCTGTTTAAATTAAAATTGTTAAAATTTATTTTAGAAAATGATATACATGTTGAAGGTTATGTAAACTAAAGTGTGAAAAACTGAACTAAAAATAAATAAATAAATAAAAAACAATTTGTAACCTTTATCATTTTATTCACATGTCAGTAAGTATGAGCAGTTTTTAGCTGGTAGTAAAAAAGTGCCCAAAAGTAGAATGTTACACTCTTCATTGTTCATGCTGAAGACAAGACAAGTGACAATAAAATATCCAGGTGGATCAGTGTTTTGTGATAAAAAAATTTTTGTCTATGGGTGCCTGGGTGGCTCAGTTGGTTAAGTGTCTGCCTTTGGCTCAGGTCGTAATCACAGGGTCCTGGGATCAAGTCCCGCATCAGGCTCCCTGCTCCTCGGGGAGTCTGCTTCTCCCTCTCCCTCTCCCTCTGCCTGTCTCTCTCCGATTGTGCTCTCCTTCTCTCTCTCTCTCTCTCTGTCAAATAAATAAACAAAAATCTTAAAAAAAAAATTTTTTTTTTTTTTGGTCTGTTCTCCCTTCCCCCTCATGTCTCTGACGTCCCCTGTTTCTTTCTTGGGCATCAGAAAATACTGCTGCCTAGGTTAAGATGGTAGTTCTTGTAGGTGATAAATAGCAACTAATAAGGCATGGTTAATCTTTAAAAGGGATTGTTAACTTGGGGTCCCATGACCATGGAAGTCCATAAATGTATCTTAGCACACTGATGAACCCATGACATTTCATACAAAATGTTCTTAAAGGTTTTCTGGGAGAAAAGTGTTAATAATTTTCATTAGGTTATCAGTGGTCAAGAATCATTATTCTGATATATTGACTAGAAGATAGGTAAAGGAGCATATTCACTAAAAAGTAGTATATTGATAAGAATTTAATTTTTTAAGCATTACACTATATTAATATATTATTTGCTTCCTATTTAAGTATGCACTCATGAAAATCTTCAAGAAAATAAAGAGAATCAAAGTTTAAAAAAAAAACAAAAAAAATGCTACCATCCAGAGTAACAACTGGTAATTTTTTTTGTATAGCCTTGGTATGAGCTTGTGAATCATACAGTTTAAAATTTTGGAAAAATGTGATCTTTTACTACATTTATGTTTTATAATCTGATTTTTCATACACAGTCAAGTATAATTAATCTCTTCATGTCATCAGATGTCATTTTTAATTGCTGTATAACAGTCATACAGCTTCCATTCCTTTTTCTGTAAGATCAGGAATGTTATATATGTTTGTTTAAAAGATTATCATTTATTTTATTAATATTGCAATTGGGACTGGAATGGGAGGAAAACTAATTCAAAGTGGAGAGAGAAGATTAAGAGAATAAATTGAAGAATGCAAGTTAATAAAAGAGCATATGAAGGTCTGAAAGTAACATGGATGATAAAAGCATTGAATAATGTTGCTTTTTTTTTGGACTCGTTAAAACTTATGACAAAACAGGCTTAAATTTCTGTGTTGTAAATTCCACCTTCCATACCAAGTATGAATAAAATTTTTAAATTTTATTCATACTTTTAAATTTTATTTCATGATTAGTCTTCTAAAAGAATTCTGGGTGACAGCAAGGGTGAGTTTCTGTCAGCTTTTTGTATTTTGAGGCTAAAAATTATATCTTTCATACCTGTCATTTCTGGTTGATAAATGTTCAAGGCTATTGCTTTTGTTTTTTCATTGTTTTGGGAAACATTTTTTTTTTTTTTTTATTCTTATGTTAATCCCCATACATTACATCATGGGAAACATTTTTTTTTAAGTAAACTCTACATCCAGTGTGGGACTTGAACTCATGATCCCAATATCAAAAGAATAACATACTTCATTGACTGAGACAGCCAGGTGCCTCAGTAAACTTTCTGACCAGTTTTAGTAGCTGTTACTTTCTTTTTTTTTTTTAAAGATTTTATTTATTTATCTGACAGATAGACAGCGAGAGAGGAAACACAAGCAGGAGGAGTGGGAGAGGGAGAAGCAGGCTTCCCGCTGAGCAGGGAGCCCGATGCGGGGCTTGATCCCATGACCCTGGGATCATGACCTGAGCCGAAGGCAGACGCTTAACGACTGAGCCACCCAGGCGCCCCTGTTGCTTTCAAATAGATTATGTTCTATACACTCTAAGGCTCTACCTTTTATTTTGGCATTAAGAAATTTGGGGATGTCGGGGCGCCTGGGTGACTCAGTTGGTTAAGCGACTGCCTTCGGCTCAGGTCATGATCCTGGAGTCCTGGGATCGAGTCCCACATCGGGCTCCCTGCTCAGCAGGGAGTCTGCTTCTCCCTCTGACCCTCCCCTGCTCATGCTCTCTCTATCTCAGTCTCTCTCTCAAATAAATAAATAAAATCTTTAAAAAAAAAAAAAAAAAAAATTTGGGGATGTTGATAAATTCAGTGGGGTATTGATATTGACCACTCTTTAAAGTAGTGCTTTTCATGAATTAGTTCATAAATAAAAACTTTGCTAAGGTTAGATACTGTGGATTAACAGTTCTTTCAAGTGTTCCACAGTACCAGGCCAGGGAAAATGTTAGATCCATTGGAATATGTGTTGTTAGATGGAATCAACGTTAAAAAATAATTTAATTTTGGCATGTAGATTCCTCATGAATGTTGAGTTAAAATTCTTTTTTTATTAATTGAAGCTATGTATTTTATGCTAGGCATTTAGAAATTTTATCATATGTTCTTTTTTTAAATTGTTTTCAATTTTTATTTAATTTCAGTATGGTTAATATACAGTATTAAATTAATTTCAGGTGTACAATATAGTAATTCAACATTTCTATATATTAGTGCTCATTAAGATGAGTACACTCTTAATCTCTTCACCTATTTCATCCATCCCTCCACCCACGTCCCCTATGATAACCATCAGTTCTTTATAGTTAAGAATCTGTTTTTTGGTTTTCTTTTTTTTTTTCCTCCATTCTTGTTCCTTTTGCTTCTTAAATTCCACATATGAGTGAGATCATATGGTATTAGTCTTTCTCTTACTGACTTATTTCACTTAGCATTATACTCTCTGGATCCATCCATGTGCTTAAAAATGGCAAGTTTCATTTTTTTTATTCTTTATTTAAATTCAGTTTAATTAACACGTACTGCATTGTTAGTTACCAGGGTGGAATTTAGTGATTCATTGGTTGCATGTGACACCCAGTGCTCATTATATCCAGTGTCTTCCTTGATGCCCATCACCCAATTA